GTTCTTCTGAAGTGCTGGGCAGGTCTGAATCCCAATGATGGACGTAGGTTAAACCTAGTTGACATCCCTCCTATGGTTACCCTTAGGTCAGTCATTTGGGATCACTCTACTGTGTGTGTGTGTGTGTGTGTGTGTGTGATGTATTTGGTAGTAGAAATAATAGTATTTGTAGGGTTTAACTAATGAGAATATATGCAGAAATGTTTTTTAAAGACATAAAATGACTTCAGACAAATATGATAAATCCCTGCTCTCACCTGATGAATTCCACATGCTCCCTCCACCATCAGTTCACCAGTTTGTCTTGTTGACTCCCATTGTTCTGTTTCCTTTCTGTTTTTACGGAGGAGCTGGTCTGCACCTTTCTAATGCATGCCGTCCCCTTGGCCTTAAGATACCACTTCAGCACTTGCTTTTTTCTCAGTTCTGCATTGTCACCTTTCCCTTAGTACTGGATAAATGCCATCAATCTGTGAACGTGTTATCAGTTTGCCCATCTTTAGAAAACCCTCCCTTGACTTCACATCCCTCTCCAGCTGGCCTCTCACTGCTTTCCTCTTCTTTACGCAAAACTTCAAACAATTGTCTGCAATCAATCTCTACTTCCTCTTCTCCCCTTCTCTCCTAATCTCTTCCAATCAAGCTGCCTCACTCCACTGTAGCAGCTCTTGTCAACGTCCTGAAGGACTCTCAAGTTGCCCAATTCTATGATCATTCTTAGTTCTCATCTTCCTTAACATGTTGGCAGTATTGGATGGAGTGGAAGTCTCTTTCCTTCATGAAAAACCCTTTCTACTTGGCTTTGGGTCACCTCTTTCTGAGTTTACCCCCTGTCTTGTGGACCACTCCTTCTCACTCTAAGTCCTGGAACACCCAGGGCCCGGTGCTCTGACTCTTCCTCAACGAACTCTCTCACTTAGTGACCTCATCCCCTTGCCTGACTTTAATGAATTCCAAATATATATTTCTAGCTTGTACTTCTCCCTAGATGAAAGACTAGTGTATCTAGCCCCAAAGGCATTCTTGTGCTAATTAGAAAAAGCTGCCTTTTTCCTTAAACACTTGACGGCCGTCTTCTGGAAAAATTTCAGAATAAATAAACGCTTAACAGATGACTGGGAATGTGAGTGGTATCTCTTACAGCTGCTAATCCTCAACCATTAGCAGCAGCTCTGTTTCTCCACTTGTGTAGTAAGTATGGAGTAGGCATCACAAGTGTAGTAGGTCTGCAACCCTCATCTCCCCAACCTTCCAGTCTTCCTTTCAGTCTTTTCTATTTCAAAATTCTCCCCATTGCTGAGGTCAAACTCTGGGAAACTGTTTTTGACTCTCCTCTCTTTCTCCTGCACCTCTCCTTTAATCCATCAGCAAATCCTATTGGTTTTTCCTTCAAAATACATTAGAATTTAGCCCCTTCTCACCACTCCCACTGCTGCTACCCTGGTCCAAGCCCCATCATCTCTCACCTCCATTATCCCAGTAGCCAGCTTCCTATCTTACTCCTCAGTGTCTGTTCTCAACATGGCAGCCACAGTAATTTATTTAAAACCTAGGTCACATCATGTCTCTCTACCCCAGACCCTTCGAGTGGTCTACTATTCGTTCAGAGTAAAAATTAAAGTCCCACAGGCTCCACACAATCCAGGTCTGCACCACAGCTCTGACCTCATCTCCTGCCCCTCTCCCCCACAAAGTCTGTGATCCAGACATGTTGGCCTTGCTCTCCTTCCCTGATGCTTCCAGGTTCAGGGACTCTGCTGAGATGCACCTGTGTAAAGCATTGCTTCCTCCCTCTTCTCTTCAGTTTTTGCTCAGATGTCACTTTATCATATCAGAGAAGCTTTCCTCAACCAAAGCATATAACAAACCAATCCTTCTGCCCTAGCATTTAATATCCCCCCTACTGTTCAATTTTCTCCACAGCATTTATCATCTGGCGACACCCACATTGTTTACTGTTTCATCTCATGGGAGTTTAAGCTTCATGAGGTTAGAGACTTATTTTTTTCCCATCTGCAATTTTTTTTTTTTGATTTATTTATTTATTTGTCAGAGAGAGAGAGAGAGAGAGAGAGAGAGAGAGCACAGCAGGCAGAGGGAGAAGCAGACTCCCTTGCAGAGCAGGGAGCCCGATGCGGGGCTCCATCCCAGAACCCTCGGATCATGATCTGGGCTGAAGGCAGATGCTTAACCGATTAAGCCACCCAGGCGTCCCGCTCCTCTGCAATTTCTAAAATGGTGCGTGGTGAATAGTAAGAGCTCAAAGTATTAGTTGAATAAATAAATGAATACCAGCACCTTTAAATCTCTCTGCGGGACCCTATCCTTAAAAAGACACAAAGGTTTGAGATGGTCCTGCACAATTCTAATCTCTCAATTTCAAAATAAAAGCATTTTTAGGAGACCAAGAATGAATTTAAATCTAATTTGAAAAATTGCATTGATTTTGCAGCTTTCTGGAAGGGCACTGGTTTCCTACAGAGAAAGCAAGTAGGCGCCATCTAGTGGCGACAAGAGAAGTCTATGCTTGTGTTGCTTGAATTATTGATTGGCAACATAATTGAAAATGTAGTCTCTGATCCAGAAGCTTATTAATTTTATGAAAGTAATATTTATGATAGCTATAAGCCCTCAAGTATGCATTTTCCACAAAATACATTGAACTGAAAAAGTACAGTTCCATTTCTTATAAATTATTTATGACTCCTTTTTATATATTAATTTTTCTTTGTTTTCTGGGATCTGACAGCCTTTGTTCCTCTTTATTTTTCTTATTGTTTTATCTTCTACTTATCTTTAAACTCTTATGTTCCCTTGATTCTGGCCAATCCACTGGGTTAGGTAAATAAAATCAAGGCTGTATCTTCCGGGAATTTAGATGCTAATACAAACAGCACCTATGAGGGTAAACATGTGAAAAGAACATGCCGGAAGATGCAGTCATCACTTCAGGCCATAATTCTGAAGCCTAATGAATCTTTACTGTGTATACTTGCACCACTGAGGAGTGAACTGTGGGAGTCTTAGCTTGCCGTTTTTCAGAAAGTAGCACGTATTGTATGAAAAAACTAAGAAAGAAAAATATTCATGTCTACCTACATTGACAGGAAAGACTGAAATGAAGTAAAGTCTCTGTCATTCTAACATTTGAAACATTAGGTCACTGCAGTTCTTTCGGAAAAGCCTGGAAGAAGATGGACTCCTTGTGCCAGGGCTCAGATTAATCCCGGACTTTTTACAGGGAGGAAGACTTTGCCTGAGTAGCTCCAGGGGGCAAAAGCCGGACCAAGGAAATATGATCAGAAAGCAGATTTCAGACCATTGTTAAGAAACATTCCGGGGCGCCTGGGTGGCTCAGTTGGTTAAGCGTCAGACTCTTGATCTCAGCTCAGGTCTCCATCTCAGGGTTGGGAGTTCAAGCCCTGCATTGGTCTCCATGCTGGGCGTGGAGCCTAGTTAAAAAAAAGTTTTGTTTTGTTTTGTTTTTCTTTCCCAATAAGAGTTTTTTTCCGGACATCAAAGCCTCAGTTTCCCATCAGTGGATGTTTCTGAGCAGAGCCTGGATGATAACCAGCCCAGGATATGTTGGACTATTAAGATTCTCTGATTCCCTGAAAGACCTTGCTCTCTCTGCACACACTGAAACCCCTCCCCACTCTTCAGTACCCAGTTCAAACCTCACTTTCTTTTTTAGGCACTGCAACTGGAAGCCATCTTTCCTATCTCTATCTTTCCTTTTTCTTTAAATGCAGATCAGCACCATTTCATGCTGCCTGTGTTAACTGGTGCTAAGCTGCTTGAAGACATCTTATAGTTTTCTCCCTATTGGCTTTGTCATAGTGGGTGAAGTTTAAATGTTTATGGTGGAAATGGCGGAAAGACTACTAATAATTGTCTCAGCTGACAACTGGGCTCCAGATACTTAGCCTTAGTCTAAGTTTTGTGCCACAATTCTTCAGCTAGTTATTAGAAAAACTAAAATATTTGTTAAGATTCATTCTCTTATTAAGATTGTAAATTTTTTTTTTAAAGATTTTATTTATTTGACAGAGAGAGACACAGCGAGAGAGGGAACACAAGCAGGGGGAGTGGGAGAGGGAGAAGCAGGCTTCCCGCCGAGCAGGGATCCCGATGCGGGGCTGGATCCCAGCACCCTGGGATCATGACCTGAGCCGAAGGCAGACGCTTAATGACTGAGCCACCCAGGCGCCCCAAGATTGTAATTTTTTTTAAGTCTAATAGTATCAGCTTCCTTTTTGAGTTGTGTTATATACCTGATACTTCTGGAAGCAGGAATAGAAATTGATAGTACAACAGTGAGTAAGATGTTACTGAAACTTAATCTAATTTTCTGTTATTATATATAGTTTTTCCTACTTCCACAGATACTGATTTTTTTTTTTCTGATTGCAGGTAATATTTTCTTTGATCTAAAACTTTTTTTTTCTTGAGAAATTATCTTTTTAACTATACAAGTTGGTGTGGTATCTTGAATAGTATATTTTAAAGCTAAGATATTCCATATATTATTTCTTTTTAAAGAATTAAGTAATTTTGTTTCTGAATTGTCTTGCCTTTTGAAGCTATATTTATATAACTTAGAATTCCCTCTTGATAAAGTGGTGATATTGAAAAAGGACATGCTAATAGGATTAGGTATGTACCCTAGACTTAATTTCTTTAACAATCAGATGCTGTTTGTTTTATCATTTTGGAGGGCCAGTATTCTCTTTAAATTATTTAATAGACTGGATGATTTTAGTACTTTTAGTACTTAATTGCTCATCTGAAAATTAGCAAATTTAGCATTCTTAGCATTTGTACTGCGTTTAATATTTCTAAAGTATTAGCTGTGTTTCTTAGTAACTACTGTATTCTCTCATTTTAATGGCTGAGGAGACAATATGGGATACTTTGATTTGTAGTTAAAGAAACATTTTTTCCTTACAATTATTGCAAGAGTGCATGGATTTTAAGTTGTGTTAATTTGTCTTTTGTAGAATATGCTGAATTTCTACATTGCAAAGGAAAAAAATTTACAGACTTTGATGAAGTTCGCCATGAGATTGAAGCAGAAACAGATCGAGTGACTGGAATGAATAAAGGCATTTCCTCCATACCCATAAATTTACGAGTCTATTCTCCACATGGTAAGTAAAATAACAAAATTTCAAATTTTTTTGTCCTCAAAAATTTTTGCATTAATTGGCATACATTATTTGTGCAGAAGATGGTTTGTTCTCTCTGAAAGTACTGGTTTCTAGGATTGTGTTTGGGTACTACCATAAATGGGATGGTCCAAAAAGTTCACAGATTTATGGGGAGGCAGGAGGACATGACTTGTAAAAAGGTCAGAATTGAGTATGTCACTTAAAAATTTTTCTTTATGTTTATTTTAAACTTTTAGAATTTCAAGAGGTATACGTGAAAAATTCCATTTTTTAACATCTTCAGTCTTAGCAAGAATCTTAGAGGTACCTGGTACTGTGACTGAGTCTTCTATTGGATTTTCTTGTAGCCCCATATATTTCTATTTATTCTCTTCCTGAGGAACCAACGATGATTTTTTCTAGATTATCAGCAGAAACTTACAAATTAGATAACCAGTTCATGGTATGTGATATGGAATAGCCTCTATTCTGACTAAATTTTCAGTGGGGCAGATTTTAATCTCTAACCTTCTACTCAGCTCTGTTGCTTTTGAAATGGAGCATGAGTGACATAAGCTAATTATGACTTTCCAAGAGGATTTGATGCCAACTCTGTTGTGTGCAGAGAACGATAGCCAGGTCACAGCTGGAGTAGCTGACGCAGGGGTAGTTCCCTGCTCTCCCAATGGTATACCATGAGTCTGGCGGTTACCCTACATAGTAACCTCATGGTACCACAATGGCTCACAGCTTTCCAATAGGCCAAGTGTCTAACCCCCCTCTAGATAGTATATGATGCGTTTGAAGCGAAGGACAAATCTTACCCTAAGAATTTTATGCCATTTGTGGTCAATGTACAAGACTGGCAGACAGCATATGCACTTCGTGTTCAGTTTTTGAATTATAACATACTAGTTACAGATATGACAGCTCTCTCTTAGCTATGCAAATTAATACCTTTCAAATTGGGTTAAAATGATCATTTGGTATAGCACAATCATATCATAAAAATAGAGAAAACTAACAAAGCCATTTTGTATTCTATGCTTTTTATTCTACACACAAGTTTGAGTTAGCTCAATATACAATATGTAAAGCTGAGCTTGTTTTATTTCCACTAAAGAGACAGATGATTTTGCATTGTTATTTTTTAGCTTTGAGGGTATATGTAAGACTCTTTTTTTCCACACAGTGTTAAATCTCACACTTATCGACCTACCTGGAATTACTAAAGTGCCCGTGGGAGATCAGCCACCAGATATTGAGTATCAGATCAGAGAAATGATTATGCAGTTCATCACACGGGAGAACTGTCTGATTTTGGCTGTTACCCCAGCCAACACCGATCTTGCAAACTCAGATGCGTTGAAGCTAGCTAAAGAAGTTGATCCTCAAGGTGAGTGTGTGGTCTTTAAGATGAAAGAGAATTAGTTTAAAATGTTAAGGGTTTGGGTATATTTCAAGGTAACACAAATTCTCATAACTTAATTTTATTGTTAATTTAATTAGCCATTATTAATATTGTTAGATTTTTTTTTTTTGAATTTAAGATGCTGAAAGAAAAATAACTAGGGGATATAGCCTGAACCTATATGAGTAAAATTAAGTGAGATCTAAGAAAACAGATATTTCTAATCCCCATGAACTACTTATTTTTTTTTATTTTTTTATTTTTTTAAAGATTTTATTTATTTATTTGACAGAGAGAGAGATAGCGAGAGCAGTAACACAAGCAGGGGGAATGGGAGAGGGAGAAGCAAGCTTCTTGCCGAGCAGGGAGCCCGATGTGCGACTCGATCCCAGGACCCTGGGATCATGACCTGAGCCAAAGGCAGACGCTTAACGACTGAGCCACCCAAGCGCCCATGAACTACTTATTTTAAAAAACCAATAAAATAAACTTCTGGTGCAGAATTCAGACAGTCCCCTTTAGTTATTAAAAGAGTTACCCAAATATACTCGCAGTGAAAACTCCTTCTGTTTCATGTGTGTTTTGTTTCTTTAAAATAGGAACCCCTCTCTTCCTAAAAGTCCTTCATCCATTTTGAGTTTATCTTTGTGTATGGTGTAAGAAAATGGTCCAATTTCATTCTTCTGCATGTGGCTGTCCAGTTTTCCAAACACCATTTGTTGAAGAGACTGTCTTTTTTCCATTGGATGTTCTTTCCTGCTATGTCGAAAATTAGTGACCATAGAGTTGAGGGTCCATTTCTGGGTTCTCTGTTCTGTTCCATTGATCTATGTGTCTGTTTTTGTGCCAGTACCATGCTGTCTTGATGATGACAGCTTTGTAATAGAGCTGAAGTCCGGCATTGTGATGCCACCAGCTTTGGTTTCCCTTTTCAACATTCCTCTGGCTATTCAGGGTCTTTACTGGTTCCATACAGATTTTAGGATTATTTGTTCCAGCTCTGTGAAAAATGTCAATGGTATTTTGATGGGGATTGCATTGATGCAAGCTGGTACAGCCACTCTGGAAAACAGTATGGAGGTTCCTCAAGAAGCTAAAAATAGACCTACTCTATGACCCAGCAATTGCACTACTGGGTATTTACCCCAAAGATACAAATGTATTGATCCGAAGGGGCACCTGCACCCCAATGTTCATAGCAGCAATGTCCACAATAGCCAAACTATGGAAAGGCCCAGATGCCCATCAACAGATGAATGGATAAAGAAGATGTGGTATAGATATACAATGGACTATTACTCAGCCATCAGAAAGGATGAAATCTTATCATTTACGTCGACATGCATGGATCTGGAGGGTATTATGCTGAGTGAAATAAGTCAATCAGAGAAAGACAATTATCATATGGTTTCACTCATATGTGGAATATAAGAAACAGTGTAGTGGATCATAGGGGAAGGGAGGGAAAAACAGAATGGGAAGAAATCAGAGAGGGAGACAAACCATAAAAGACTCTTAATCATAGGAAACAAACTGTGGGTTGTTGGAGGGGAGGGTGGTGGGGGTTGGGATAACTAGGTGATGGGCATTAAGGAGAGCATGTGATGTGGTGAGCACTAGGTGCTATATGCAGCTGATGAGTTACTAAACTCTACATCTGAAACTAATGATGTTCTGTATGTTGGCTAATTGAATTTATTTCTATTTTTTTATTTTTTTAAAAGATTTTATTTATTTATTTGACAGAGAGAGACACAGCGAGAGAGGGAACACAAGCAGGGGAGTGGGAGAGGGAGAAGCAGGCCCCCCGCCGAGCAGGGAGCCCGATGCTGGGCTTGATCCCAGGACTCTGGGATCATGACCTGAGCCGAAGGCAGACGCTTAACGACTGAGCCACCCAGGCGCCCCTGGCTAATTGAATTTAAATAAATAAATTAAAAAATAGGAATTAAAAATAAAACATTTTAATGCATGTAAAATATTATTTAATTTATAATTATTTTACATAAGCAGGGATTTTATGTTGTTAGCATTTCAGAATCCAGAAAAGTACCTTATTTCTGCCGATGTTTTGATTTTTTTCTTTCTGTGAGCTGAGTAATAATAGTTTATCTTCAGAGACCCCCAAATGGGGCTTTATGTGTGTGTGTGTGTGTGTTTAAAGTAATTATGGAAAGACACTCAGTGATGAGTCTGTTCAATATAGAGATGCATGTTCTTCAATTCTAGGAATTTTTTTTTTCTTTGATAATTAATTGCCCCTACTTTCTCTGTTGTCTTTATCTGGAATCCTTATTATTAGCATGTTAGAACTTCTGGATTAACCCTCTTTTAAAAAAATCCTCCTCTTTTATCGTGTTTCTTTGTACTTATGTTCTACGTTTTGCAAAATTTACTCAACTTTATCTTCAGCTCTTCTGATTAATTTTTCATTTCTGATATCATTTAAAAAGTTCCAACAGCATTTTCTCATTTTGTGAATGTTATTTTTATTTATTTATTTATATTATTTATTTCTTTATTATGTTTTTTAACATGAGTATTTTTATTTTTTAAAATAACATCATGCTCTTGGTTTTGCAAGTACAGTATGTTCTCTAAAGATTTTAATTAGAGATCTTTTGAGGCTTTCCTTTTGTAATCTACAATGTCTCTGAGAGTGCATTTTTTTCTGGTGGTTTTTCTTGGTCATTATCTTTGATGTCAGAGACCTTTTGTTCAAGTGATTGGTGATCTTTTGCTGCTCATTCAGATAGAAGAGTAGAGCACTAACAAGCTGACAGAAATTCTAAATGTGTATGAATGGGATTCATTGATAATGGGCTTTATCATAGGGTGATGGGGCTGGATTATTTTCACTTGCGCTGGTCTGGTATAACCTGATGTCCAGTGGTCTCAGAGTCAAGAGGAAGAATTGAGTTGGCAGGGGTGTGGGGTGGTTCTCACTGTTCAGCATGTAGACTTTTAATTAATCCCTCTGCTTTCATAATGGCAAACCTGAAGGTCTTCTTGAGTCCAGAGTCCCTCAAAAGAGGTTCATCCTCTTTTGAAAGTAAATCTTCAATATTCTGCTGAGGTCAAGAGGAGTAACTACATGGTTATGCAAGATGAGAAAAAGGGTCTGGAGGTCTATCAACATCGCATATACATTTTCAGCCAATTCTTCTATTTTTCAACTCCTCTTACACCCTGGCCTTGGTGCCTTTATCTCTTAAACCTTTCCACAGTTCTGCAGTAGTAACTATTTTACTTCTTTTTGGCTTCCTCTAATATCCCTGACATTGGTGCTTGAAACAAAGCAGGTGGAAGTTACAGATGGCTAGATGGGGACCATCCCCAGGATTCTCTCTCAGTGGGATGGAAGAGCCAGATTCAGGGTTGGGGCTAGAGTCTAGTTATAAAAATGATGCTAAAACACCCCTGTCTCTGCAGCCTTCTTGTCCCACAGGAGACAAAGCCATGACTATCTGATGGGAACAGAGACAGCACTTCTATCAGTAGATTCTAGGAGGTACAGCACAATCATGTTCCTGAAAAGTCCACATTTAGTCTAGATGAAGCTTCATGGAGGAGTACAAATGATATCCCTCAGGTCTCTGATTCAGTCTTTGGTTCTGTCTCCTTGGAGTTGGTTCTTTTCTCAGATAGACTCTCCTCACACGTGACAAGATGGTTGCAGTTGTCTCAGCCTCACATCCTCACATCTTCAAATATAGTGGAAGAATAGCCAATGGAGAATCAATCTTCCTTCCTTCCTTCCTTCCTTCCTTCTTTCCTTTCTTTGTCAGGAGAGAGAGAGAGCACAAACAGGGGGAGCAACAGGCAGAGGGAGAAGCAGGCTCCCTGCTGAGCAAGGAGTCTGATGCAGGACTCGATCTCAGGACTCTGGGATCATGACATGAGCTGAAGGCAGACCTTAACCGACTGAGACACCCAGGCATCCCGAGAATCTTTTATTTTTATAAATTCTGAATTTTATAAGAACTATAAATTAAAAGAAAATTGGCCAGCTAATATATCCTATAAAATATCTACAGTTAATTCTTGAGATTGATTTAACATATTCATGTTATATTTTACTCCTTTTGTTTAGAAGGGATTATTAGTGGCAGTGACTATATCTCATTCCTCAGGCTTCTCAATAGAAGATTCATTTATAACCCCAAACAATAACTCTCACGTGATGGCATATCATTAGGTGGGAGTAATTAATGTTGGTGGAGGGAATTGTCAGTTTACCAGAAAGGAATCAGTCTTTACAATTTCACTGACAGTATTTACAGTGTGTTGTTACAGCATAAATAAAACACAGCATTAAGTTTCAGTCATGGATTTGTAATAGTATTCTACAAATCTGTATCCAGAAAGTTAAATTTGAATGTTTTTTCCTAATGTAGGCCTGGCTTATTTTAATAAGCCTATTGTTATTCAATGCTACTTAGAAGTTGCCATCTGAATGTTCATGAACTTACCCAAAATGGGTCTAATTTCTTGTGGATCAGTAGAACTCCTGCTTTGTCAAAGAAAGGCCTTCATTACTCCAATTTTTAATATCCTATATATGATAGTTTTGAGAACAGATTTTTGTAAGTTTTGCAGATAATTGGCAGATGATTTTGCAGAAAAGAAAACATTCAGTGCCACTGTGTGCCATTTACTTGTCTGACCGATTCCTTCATGGTGATTGCTAAGGAGGACAATTAATTCATTGCCTGAAGACTCTTAGTAAGTATGATTTTGGGTTCATTAATAAAAGGTCCTTGCTAATCTCAAGGCTTGTCATTTGTTTTCATATCCCAGTTTAAATTCCCAAACTCCTAAACACTCTTATGCCTGAGAATCCTGAAAATTATCCAAAAGGTTTGCATGGTGCTCAGGTCTCCAGAGACCCACTTTGGTGTGTTGCTATCCTGTGACTTTGACTGGTCCTGTACATCACTGAAGCGCCAAAGGAAGAGGGTGAATTCTTTCCCAAACCAACAGAG